AGCACCGTGAACCACATCTATGAGGCCCAGTGCGAGGGGCTGGGCAGCAGGAAGCCCACGGCCAGCAGCCCCAGGTGAGGTGGGGGGCAGCCTAGATAGGGCCTGGGGAGCCCCAGCCTGTGAGTGCAGCCTCACGTCCGCCCCTGCTCCAGGCAGGACAAGGAGGCCTGGATCAAGGACAAATATGTGGAAAAGAAGTTTCTGCGGAAGCTGCCCTCAGCACCGGCCCGGGAGGCCCCGCGGCGCTGGCGTGCACAGAAGTGCCAGCGCCACCACAGCTCCTCCCGCGCCCCCACTGCCCGCCGCAAGGTCCGGCTGGAGCCCATCCTGCCCTCCGTGGCTACTCTGTCCTCAGGTGGGAGGGCTGCCTGCAGGCTGCACCCTCAGCCACATACCTGGGCAGGGGTGGGCAGAGGGCTCCAGCGGGGGGGATGAGCCACCAAACCCTGGGCCCCAGGGAGGTCAAGGAGGGTAGGACAGAGGGAGGGAGGCAGGGGCTCACAGGGGCACCTCCGAGCGCTGCTCAACACCCATCATGATTTGGGGCCCCTGTCCCCCTGCAGCAGGCGCTGTGGAGCGCAGGTTCCACAGGGATTCCCTCTTCTGCCCGGACGAGCTGGACTCCCTCTTCTCCTACTTTGATACAGCGGCTGCAGCGGCCGGTCCACGCAGTGAGTGCCATGAGGGCCCCAGCCCCCTCTGTCTACCCCCCAGCCTGCCAGGGCGGCAGAGCAGGGGCCAGGCGTGGCTCACCTGGAGGGTGGACGAGTGTGGACAGCCATGCCACTTGCTCCGGGAATGGGAGGACAGGCATTCCTTGCAGGAGGGACTGGGCTAGAGAGGTGGTGTCACAGGGGGCTGGTCTGGGGGTGGGAGAATTTGGGGGTCCAGCAGGGCTAAAGCTGGGACAGTTTCTCGAGGGGCTGGGGTAACCAGGCCGCTGACTTGGAGACCATGGCCATGACCGTCAACAGCGACCGTCAGCAGTGCACACAGGAGTACATGTGTGGGTGTGTGACCGTACACGTGGCTATAAATGTGTGTGAGTGAATGTGCACACAGCTGTATGAGTATGGGTGTGTGAATGTGCGTGTGCACGTGTGTGCTGAGGGGCCCGTGTGTGTGCATGTGCGTGCTGGGGTCTGGACAGCTGTGTGCTGGAGCCAGCTCCTGAGAGACGGTTGTGGGCATCTTGCCCAACCCCCCTTGGTGTTGGGGGGCAGACGCTGCAAGTCAGGGCTCTCCTCCGAAGGCTGCCTGTTGACGGTTCACACCACTCATCAGCCTGGGGCACATGCTGAGCCTTCCTGGGCAGTGTGGGCAGAAGGCATGGACCAGGGCCAAGAACTGGCAGGGCTGATGGGGTTGACAAAGGGGCGACCGCGGGCAGCAGAGGGCGCTGCCTTATGGTCCCTAAGCCTGGGGCTCTTCTACAAGGCCTGCTGGGTGAGCTGGGCAAGAGTTCGCTCCTGCTGCCTGGGGCCGGTATCTCCAGGGCTCCGCGAAGACCCCACGGCTGCGCAGTGACCTTCCAGCATGCCCTGGCCACAGTCAGGGCTGAATGCCTGCAAATTGCCCATCCTGCTAGGTCTGACCGGCCAGAGAGTGGACCTCCATGCAGGACAGTGCTCCCGGGGGGCAACTGTGGTCCTTTGAGCTGTTACTTGGTTTTCCCCCTGCTTCCTCCCATCCTGAGCAGGGCCCCCCTGGGCCCCCTTGTAGGGGCTGCTTCTGCCCTGGGGCATCCCTGGAGGATGGGTGGGGGTCCAGCCTTTCCCCAGGGCTCTGGGAGGAGTCAAGGACACTCAGGACCCCCTCTGCCCACTGACCCCACAGGTCTGAGCAGCGACAGCGGCTTAGGGGGCAGCTCCGATGGCAGTTCGGACGTCCTGGCCTTCAGCACCAGCTCTGTGGTGGACAGCGTCACTGAGGAGGGTGGGTGTGCATCTCCCCACCTCGCCGCAGCCGCTCTGCCACCTCCCCTACTCCGGCCCAGGTCGCAGCCCCTGACCAACCCCCTTCCCGCAGAGCGCGCAGACTCGGAGGAGTCCAGCGGCGAGGCAGATGGGGAGGCCGAGGCCGAGGCCTGGGGCTTGGCGGATGTGCGCGAGCTGCACCCTGGGCTCCTGGCGCACCGCGCAGCACGCACCCGCGACCTCCCCACACTGGCCGCGGCGCTGGCCCACGGGGCCGAGGTCAACTGGCCCGACACGGAGGACGAGGGCAAGACGCCATTGGTGCAGGCCGTGCTGGGGGTGAGCGGCGTGGGGCTGCGCAAGGCACAGGTGCACTTGGCACTGCATCTGCAGGGCCTGCTCTTTTGGGGCGCGCACACGAGGGCCCCTTGTTCTCCCCTGGAGACCGGGCTCCGTGCTGGCTGGGGACGCCGAGGGGCCCTGCGAGGGGCCATCTCTCAGGCTCAGTCTGAACTGCCCCTGTTCCCCAGGGCTCCCTGATCGTCTGTGAATTCCTCCTGCAAAATGGAGCAGACGTGAACCAAAGAGACAGCCGGGGCCGGGCACCCCTGCACCACGCCACGCTCCTGGGCCACACTGGGTGAGTCACGGCGCCCCTCCACTGCGGACCAGGGTCTCCCTCTCACCAGTGCCCCCACCTGCCCCGACACGTTCCCTCCACCCTCAGCCAGGTCTGCCTGTTCCTGAAGCGTGGGGCAGACCAGCACGCCTTGGACCATGAGCAGCGGGACCCGCTGAGCATTGCGGTCCAGGAGGCGAACGCTGACATCGTCACGCTGTGAGCGAGGGTGGGGGCACCAGGGGGCCGCGGGGTAGACGATGACACGCCACTGGGGGCATGCAGGGGGCACCTGGGGGGTCAGGTGGTGTGTCGTGGGGGGGGCCGGGGGCGCCTCACTCTGTCCCTCCCCCAGGCTCCGTCTGGCGCGCATGACTGAGGAGATGCGTGAGGCCGAGGCGCCCCCAGGCCAGCCAGGCCCCCTGGCGGGCAGCAGCCCCACGGAGCTCCAGTACCGCAGGTGCATCCAGGAGTTCATCAGCCTCCACCTGGAGGAGAGCTAGGGCGGGGGGGCCGGGCACCTGCATGACCCCGCTGGGGATCCCTGCCCGGCCCCGCTCGCCCTGCCTGGCCGCCACGGCCCTGCCCGGACGACCATGGGCCCATTTCCCGAGAGCCGTGATGTGGGGTGCTCCTGGAGCCCCTGCTGCCTGTCCACCCTCCTCAGAGCTGCCCCGACCCCAGGGCCAGGAGAGGGACCCCAGCACTGAGTCTTTTCAAGCCCCATGTTTCCCTGGGGATGGTGCCCTTCACCTCATGTTTTCAGGTGACCCCTTCCTCGGGGGGCCTAGGTCACTCATGTCACAAACCACTCTCAAGGCCCCATGTCACCTTGTGACCCCCTCCCCAGGGCCCATGTCACTTTGTGCCCCTCCCTGCCCTCAGGGCCTGTGTCACCTTGTGCACCCGCCTTTACTGCCCCAGAACACAGACCTGCTAGCTGGGTCCCTCCTACACCCCCAGAGCCCCTCCACTAGGCACCGGGGCTGGTGGCTGGCCACCAGGCAAGGGTGGGGGGCCGCCCATCCAGGGAATCAACCTGTGTACCTCACTTAGTGACCAGTGTCCAGGCTGGGCTTCTCGGGTGCTGGTTGGGGCTCTGGCCTGGAGCCTTGGCCCTGGCTGGACGCGGGCGTCCGAGGCCACATGGCTGGCCACACAGGCCCCTGTCTGGGCAGCCAAACCTGTCCCTGCCTCCTGCAGAGGCACTTGGCCCAGAGCCGGTGCATAAAGGACCTTGGCACTTTCTACCCGCACATCCGGTGTTCTTTGTCACCAAGTGAGTGGATTTTCTACCACAACCTCGTTCTCTGTCTCACGTCCTTTCTCTGTGGACTTGCAAGGACCACCGTGACCCCGGCTCTGCCTGCTGCAGGGGCAGCCCCTGTAGCCCTGTCCTGCCCCCTTGCCCTGCCCCCTCGCCAGCCTCGCCCCTTGGCGGGGCCCTCAGATGGGTCCAGGGGTCCCTCAGCTCAGTCCCCAGGGCCCACCGATGCCTTATGCGTTCCCCTTTCCTGAAGCCCAAGGGCAGGGCCGGGCCTCTCCCCAACTTGGGCCCTTGGTCAGGCCAAGGCCAGTCGGCTGATCACTATGCAAAGGCTGCCCGGGGAGGCTCCATGTGTGGCAGGGTGAGCACTGGCCGGCGCCCGCTCCCTCGCCTGCTGGCTGTAACTCCTAAAGAGCAGAATAACTCCTTCTCTCTCCCTGCTTGAGCTCTGCCCCCAGCTCCCACTCTGCTGCCTGCATCAGGGCCTCACCCCTGGGCCTCGGGTTGGCGGGACTGCCCCTGCTCCAGATCATGTTAATAAACTGCTTGCACCTGCAGCCTGTCATCGGCTCACCTGCCTCACTCGCTCTGTCTCAGCTGGGGAGGGGGGTCTCTGGGTCCCCTGCCTTCCCCGAGGGGTGGTCCTGAGTGGGGTAGCACCACTGCCCAAAGAGATGCCACCAGCCAGGACGCAGCTGCCGCCTGCCGGGGGCCTGCGGGGAGGCAGGGGCTTCTTTGATGAAAACTGGCTCCTGACACCCCAGGCCCCTTTCTCTGGCCCCTGCCCTTCTCTGGCCTAGACTGTGGCCTCTGGTGGGAGTGGGGATGGACGCCAACTGGCAAGGATGCTCTGGGCTGGGCTTGTCCCCTGGGCAAGTGTCCTCCTGTCCCCCAGCCCCAACGACATGTCTGTGGCTCCAAGGAGTGTGGAGTGCAGCCTGAGGTTTTCGGCTTCCTCAGGGAAGGGTGACTGGGGAGAAACATGCCAATCTCCAGGTGGAATTGTGATTTTATTACAGAGCAGCCCAAAGTCACCAAGCGCCTCGGCTTGGCCCTCCCACTTGCCCTGAGCCTCGGGAGCCTCGGCCTGATACCCACACACCTACACACAGGTGTAGACACACGTCATCAATACGCTCAGAAACACACGTGCAGATACAAGACACTGACACGCTCCCCTGTGGAGACATGCACACTCTCACAGCCGAGACTCCTTAGCCGAGGCCCCTGCCGGAGCCCCTGGAAGCGTCGCAGGAGATGAGGCCAGCCGGGCCCCTGGACGTTCAACATCAGGCCTGCAGTCACTGGGCAACTGGGTGGCCTCTGGCCCAAGGTGGGATGCCCTTCTGGCCGCCCCCGGCTGGGCACCCCCGGCGCTGCGGAGCCGGCGGCAGCCCAGCAGCAGGGCAAGGGCCACGGCATCCAGCAGCAGCTCCAGCAGCTCCAGGACAGAGAGCACGGACGAGCCGAACCACAGGCTCCAGAGGCTGCCCATGGCCGAAAGCAGCCGCGGCACCTGTGGCATCAGTGGGCAGTGAGTGGGTGCCAAGGTCCCTGCCGGGGCAGCGCCCAGCAGGTCTGGCCAGCCACAGGCCCTGCTCCCACCCCAGGCCGTGGTCCCTGGCCAGCTCACTGAGTACACGGGCGTCTCGTCCACTGTGCGGTAGTTGAGCTCCTGGTACAAGATGTTCATCTTGGCGACGCTGCTCCTGGGGGAGGCAGAGGTGTGAGGGGCCAGGCCCTGGACCTGCATGGCCGGGCACTGAAGGGCGAGGTTGGCGGGGGCGGCCAGGACGGGCCTCAGGAGGAGGAGGGCTGCACCCACCTGGGGCTCCGGCTAGGGATCCAGCGGCCCCGCTTGCCCAGCACAGCCAGGGTCCAGTCCTATGCACAGAAGGTTCGCTGTGGCCGCTGCTCATCCCAGCGCTCGGTGCATGGGCAAGTGTAAAGCAGGGACCACAGGGGCAGAGGCTGGTCTAGAGTGGGCTCTGCTTGTCCACCCCTCACCCACCCCTTCAGGGCACTCACGGCCGACTTGGAGGAAGGCCACCTGGAGGTCCCAGCAGACAGCTTGTATGAAGACTCCCTGGAGAGATAGATCCCGTCACACCCTGCTGTGGTGCCCAGGGCGGTGCCTGGATCCCGACCCCAACACTCCCCACTCACCTGCAGGGCCTGGGGCAGCGGGAGGCGCAGGGAAGCCGGTGGGTCTCCAGGTCCCTGTAGAGGCGGTAGAAGCAGTGTCCTGGGGAGGGGGTCACAGGTGAGCCCGTTAGGAGTGACCCAGGGGTGGCAGGAGTTTTGCAGGTTGACAGGGCCCGCGGGCTGTGGTGAGCAGGTCGGGGGCTCACCCCAGGCTGGGTGCCGAGTGTAGCTGCAGTACTCAGTCCCCACCGGCAGGGGGTAGAGGTAGTAGCCACAGGAGCAGGTCTCCACCATCAGCTGCTGGAAGCAGGAAACCAGGCAGGCCTGGGGGGACAGCAGGGGACTGGAGCTGGGGGTGCCGTGGGTGGCTATCCCTCTCCAAGGGCCTGCCTGCCACCAGTTCACCTCCCTCACGGCCTGCCCGCCCTCCTTGGGCTCTCCCCCATTCTGCCCGCCCCCTTACTCACACCCCACCCCTACCCCCCAATGGCCCCAGACTCACCTGCATGGTGTACGAGGCGTTGTACAGCAGTGGCACATCCACGCCCTCCCCGCCGTCCGAACAGTGGCCATAGGGGCTCCCGAGCCTGTGCACCTCGTCCTGGGGGGAGGGGGGCTGCTTCAGATGCGCCAGCCCCACCCTTGAGGCCCCTCAGTTAAGCAGAGAGGTTGGGCTCCCTCCTCTGCCCCACCTCTGGGCTGGCCCACCTCTCGGATGCCGATGGTGGTCTCGGTCCCTGGCCGGATGCTGAAGCCACGATGCTCTAGGAAGGGCGTGTGGTCCCGCGAGTGAATCATGACCTTGATGCCATTCTCCGTGGACAGCAGAGGGAGGTGGTCCTGCTGCTCAGTCCTGAGGACCAGGCTGATCCCTGGGGGAGGCCAAGGGTAAGGCCTGGATGGCCCGCACGCCCCTGCCCACGCCTGGCCCGGGGCGGGCACTCACCGTGGGTGATACCTGGGTGCTGTGCAGCCCAGGCACCATTGAAGGTGTAGCAGCTGCCATAGGTGGGGTGGTGGAATGTCTGGAAGTGCCTGGAACCAGGGGCCACACTCAGACCAGCACATGCCTTCCACCATCACCCACGGTGCGACCTGTGGGCCCACGACCCTCCTCATCTCTGGAGGGAGCTGTTAGCTGGACCCTCGGGGTGGCACCCACCTGCCCCACCCCCACTCACGGGGCCTCGCAGTGCCGGCCGTCGTAGCGGCAGGAGTAGACGAAGTGGCTGCCGTGGCTCCGGTGGCTGTCCTCATGGGTAGGTGGCAGCAGGGCCAGGATGTTGATGTAGTGGAAGCGGTACCACTCTCTGGCAGCCGTCACGCCCGATGAGTAGACCCGGTAGAAGCAGTCGCCGCCGGTGCTGTTACACTGGCGGGGGGGCGGGATCAGGTCCACACAGCCCCCAGGCCGCCCACACCCGACTCACCTGCAGGGGGACCCTTCGGGCTAGGGGCACTCACCAGTCTGAAACCCACTTTGTTCTGACCCCCCGGGCGGCTCAGCCGCTGCAGGTGAATCCTGCGGTCCAGCTGGAAGGCGGGCTCGGGGTCCAGGTCCGCGGCACCAGGGACTTCCTGGCTCTCGCTGAAGTTGAACGTGTACAGGGCGTAGAGAGTCTCCTGGGCAAACTCATCAAGCGCCTGCAGATGGCGGTGGACAGGGCTGGGCCTGAGGGGCCGGTGAGGGAGGGGGTCGTTGAGTCAGAGCGACACCCCCAAGGTCCCCACATCAGTCACAGGGCACTGCTGGGGAGAGCCGCGCTGGCCCCCGTGGTGCTGACCCCAAAGGTCAGCGGACAGCAGCCCCGTCGCCTCCTCGCACGCCTGGAATTGCAGTAGGGCTGCAGGGAGAAGTCAGGCCCCCTAGCCTAGCCTGGCCTGGCCACCCTTGTGGACCCCACCGTCCTCCTGCTGCCTCCCCACCTGGGCTGTTGCCCTGCCACCTTCTCCTGGGCCCCCATGGTGAAGCCCAGCTCCAGGCTGCACTTCTGGAAAGCGCACCCTTACCTCCCTCACCCTCCCCAGGTGCCCAGCGCCTGGTGTCCCTCCAGGGCAGCACCGATCACACCAAGCCCCAACGGGCTCTTCTTTGTCCTTTAACACCCACCCCAGGGGCAGAGGTCTCAGAGGTTCCGACTGGGCACAGGGGTGGGGTGAGGTGGGGTCATGAATGACCGGGGTTTCCTGAGCCAGTGGGGCTTCCTCTGTGACCACAGCTGGGGAGATGCCTGCAGGCCACAGAGGTGAAGAGTCGGGAACCCTCAAGCTGGCGCCCTGCCCCTCACCCCGGCCCCCTACCCCTCATCCCCACCCCTACTCCTCACCCC